AAACTACGCAACGGATTTTGATGCGGTTTTTTTAATAGATAGAGTGATTCAAGAGGAAGGTTTTAGTATATATTTTGTTAAGTTTTTGTATATATTGGCTAAAATATAATGATATTTGTTGGAAGTGTCGGAAAGAATAAGACGTCTGGGAGCTTTCAACGAAAACGCTGCCTAAACCCTTTGAGATATAACAAAATAATGTATGGTGGAATTGTGTATCTTATATAGGTTTACAGAAAAACCCGAGATGGCATATGTCTATCTCTTAAGGATACCGGGACGGGACGAACCCGAGCGAAGCGAGGGTGAGTCGCTAGTTATATATATATTATTTCGATATTGTTAGAGGTACATATTAATGAATTCACATCTACATGATTTAATAAATGTTGTAATTTAGACAGATTTAATATCTTTCAAGGGGAAATTCGTCACAATCTTAGAACGAGTAATTTTTTCTGAACTTCTTTTGATTGTAACAAACTGTCGTCATAAATTTCCTGTATATATATTTATCTGAAGGATAGTTGAAAAACTAGCGGAAAAAATGGTACAGTTAATAATCGAACTAAATGTTTACTTGCAGAACAACATTCAGGGAGCAACGGTATTTGCATTCCTGCAATCTCCAAAATTTGTTCATTTTAGTTCAAAAGGAAATGGGCTTATTATTATGAGTTTTTAATGGGACTACTATTGTATATGCGAAAGTTTGTGTGTATGTATGTTTGTTACTCTTTCACAGTAAAAAGGCTGAACAGATTTGGATGAAGTTTAGTGTACATATAAACTTAACCTTAACATCTGGAATAGCACATAGGAATCAGGAACCCGCGCGAAGTTAGGGTAAGTCACGAGTATTTTAAATTTTCATAGTTTTTAAGAGGCGATTGCGAACCGCTAGTTTAGTAAGTGCTCTACAAAATTTCTAATTTTAATGAAATTATGGGCTAATAAAGTTAATTAATCGGACCGGAGATTTGTAATCAAGAATAACAAAGAAGTCTCAAGTTCAATTCAAATTTGTAAGTTTTGTAGAAAATTAAGGGTTAATTTAATTATTCGTTTATTATCTGTGCTATAAGTTGATAAGATTTGGAGATTTTTCATTATATATTTTTTTTTTCATAAAATTAAAGTTTTAATTTTTTTTTCAAATAACCGCCTCGACCTACTACCCTCTAAAATACTCATCAGAATAAATCCATCACTACATATTATAAAATAAATTCTTCGCCGCGTCTGTCTGTCTGAACGCGTTGAACTCAAAAACTACCGAACGGATTTTCATACGGTTTTCACTAATGTATGGAGTGACTCATGAGGAAGGTTTAGGTGTACAATTCATTAAGGTTTTGTGTAAATTGGTTGAAATATGACGATGATTGTTAAAGATTTCGAAAAAACATCATTTCCACTGGGAGCTTTATTGGTGTGCTATCTTCCTATTAAACTGTACCAACGGTATATTCACGTACCAAGAGACGTACTCGAGCCAAGCCAGGACGCGTCACTAGTTGGATAATATATTTTTGTGATTATTTTACTTACTTTGTCAGCATTTGTCAGTTTGACTGTTAAATAAGGGATTTTTTAAAGTACTTACGTTAGAATAAACTACCTACTTTTATTTTTATGTACTGTTTTAAATATGTGGGGAAAAATACTTTTAGAACCTCAAAATTTTATTTCAAAATCTATACTAATATTATAAAGAGGTAAAGTTTGCGAGTTTGTGAGTTGATGAGGTTGTAGGTGGTAATCTCTGGATATACTGAACCGATTAAGATGAAATTTGGTAAAAAGATAGTTTGAGACCCTGGCAAGGATATACAATACTTTTTATCCTGGAAATCATCCCTTAAAGAGGTGAAAATGGGGATGAAAGTTTGTATGGAGAATCAACCTAGGGATGAACCCGAGCGAAGCGAGAGTTAGACGCTAGTCTATTATATAAACATTAACTGACCTTCGAGAGCTTTTAGTTAAGTCAGGAATATCGCGAACTAGGTATAATTTCATAAATACCCGCAATTATTCCCAAGCAAAACACAACAATGAGTAAGTGCTGGCGCGTATTATTCACCCAAACTTTGTCCGCAACAAATGAGAGGCAAGATATGAATATGTATTTGCTAAGCTTAGGATTGAGCTACACTGAATTTATATTATATATCTTTACTCTATATCGCATTTTTTATTTAAATTATAAAACCTCTTTATTAACCGACTTTAAAAATAAGGAAATTCCATTGAAGTGTATAATTTTCGTATACGCTATTAGTAAAATATTGGTGAGAAGCTTAGCTATATTTCTCCGTTGAATCGCAATGCCGATTGTTTCATAGATTTAATTATTTTCAACGTATTGATCTTGCGAGCGGACCGACGCGATGGTAGTAAATACTAGAATATATTCTATATATTTAGCCCTTTTTAACGTCCCACTGCTGAGCACGGCTGTCCCTTCAATTTGAGGAAGATCAGACCATAGTCCACCAAGCTGACAAGTGCAGGGTGGACTTCACATCTCTTTCGAAAACTTGCTAAATTCTCTCAGACATACAGGTTTCCTCACGAAGTTTTCTTACTTACGATGGTTACTTCCTCACGATGGTTTTTTTTTCTGGTAATCGAAAAATAATTTGCACGTGAATATCAGAGGAAGATCCGGGATTTGAACCTGTTGGCTTTGCAAGAGCGTTGCCACTGGGCTTAGTAGCCCAATGTCTGACTTCTGCTAAAATACGAATAAAAAAATTGTACATTGATATATACATTTGACGGACGGCAAGTCTAACACTGATGTATTATACTGTACAAATAAGGAGTTTAACTTTGAAAGTCAAGTCATTATAAGCTGTTCAAACTAGCCCAACTTCCAAGATCGTGTTATTTCAAATCCTTAACATATTCAGGGACAAATGACTAGAAGTTTGGCATAAAATATACTATCAATATTATGTTATCTATATGTTAATTTTGTGTAAAAAAATACATTTAAATAACTTTATTGATTATATAAAAAAATATATATTATTGCAAGTTTTGAATTAAAAATGAATTGATAAATTATTATTTAGAGAATCTGAGTTACAAATGTGTATATATATATATATATATATATATATATATATATATATATATATATATATATATATATATCAAAACCTGTCCAGTGGTTTTCTCGTGATGCGTTCCCAGACAGAAAAAAATTCTAAAACCTATAGATTCGGCCTCTGTATCGATAGTAATGACAATTTGAATAAGATTTTCTAAAAAATATTACAGATTCAACTCAGTGTTTTATTATATGTTTAGATTTATTACTCAATCACTCATGAACATTGATTGGATTTGGATGTTTGGCACACAGATAAACTTTACCCTATTTTTAATGTTAATAGGTAAATGGATTTACATTTATTTATTTTAGTTCTACTCGGGGTTTCGCTCGCGGTAAGCGAGGCGCGGACCAAAGTACCCTATTTCCGTCCCCAGGATGTAATTTTTGTCCTTGCCAAGTTACTTTCACATTTATAATATTAGTTTGGATTCGTTAATATTGTGTGAATTCACTTGAATTTGACCATCCTGCACGGACATATTGCATAAGAAGGTTGTGGTAGTCATGTATCTAGACTATAAAAAAAAGATTCCAACGAATTGAGAACTTCCTCCTTTTTGGAAGTCGGTTAAAAATACTTACATAGTATATTCTTAAATTACAGAAAAACACAACAAAATAATTAATTTTTTATTATATACATTACTTAGGTACTTGAAAAACAGTATTAGTATGTACTTTTTATTTTTTACAGTCTTTAATTTTACTAATATGTATATTAACAAGCTTGTTTTCATCATTGATGATTAAATAGTATTTTCTTATAGTTGTTCTAGACTGACAATTTTAAGTAACCAATAGGCTTAGATGAGATACTTTACAATGGCTAAGTTTTATACATATGTTTAAATACGTTGGGACAATAACACGCAGCACCATCTAGTTTCATAGTAAGCTACGGGGCTTGTGTTATGGATACCAGATAGTTATTACACTACATATATATAACTTTAAATACATACATATTATAAATATAAACACCCATGAGTGTACAAATATTCATCCTCACCACATTGGCAACGGGACTCGAACCCGCGATAGCTGGCAAAGCAAGTAGAGTCACTACAAACTGAACCAAATAAGTCATCAAGTGAAACCTAAAAATTGTATGGAAATGAAATTTTTAAGCGTTATTTCAAATATGCCATTTCCATATATTTTTCACTTCTCTAATATCATCTTGTTTAAGCTGTCAGAATTCGAAAGCTACATACTATTATGTACATTTACGTATACGTATCGTAGAAAACTAACAAAATAGTGATACACGTTTTCTCGGTGTAAATTACTATTCAACCAAAACACACCCCCCTCCCTCCCTCCCTCCCCTCTTTCTGTATTTTTTTTTAATTTTCGCTCTTTTTGGCGATTTTTAGTTAAAAAAGTATAAACACTGTTAACCATACATTTGCATTAGTCAAAAAATTTATAGCTAAGAAAAGTCATCAACAAATGTCATTATGTTAATCGTATCATATAGTTACATATTCAAAATACAGAAAAATTCTGAGGTTACGTACAATAAAACAAAATATTGTAGTACGTTGTAATGATTTTGATAAAGTTTTTTCTATAGAATAGTCCAGACCAAAAGACCACCCCACCACCCTATTAACATTCAAAGAAAAACATGCAACACTAAAGATATTATTATAATTTTGTCAGTCTAAATTTTGGGTAAAACATTCATTGTTGTTTAACTTTTTTAATTGTCTTTGAACTTTGGTATAGTAATGTGTAAGTTTAAGTTTATATTTAACTCTAACTAAAGCTATAGGTGTACTAAAACATTCTCACTTGAAATTCATTCTATTTCTGAACCCATCTTAGACTTTTGTCAAACATTAACTATTAAGACTCCTTAATCTCCTTACTTTACAACAAAAACATCATCAGAATTAATCTTTTCTGCCACATGTTTATAAATATCTTCCTCAAACTTAAACCCTTTCCTTCCTTTTTCCTTGTAATATGGAAACTCGTTAAGAGTGGGCAAATAATATATACCAGGCTTAGTGAAATTAGCAGCAAAACCTAAATAATTATCGGTTGTATTTTCAAAACACTTCCCCAATCTGGCATTTTGAACTGAATCACATCTAACTCCGATAAACTTTTTGGGATGTTCTATGGCTTGCCACCAGTAAAAGATAGCTCTAATATGACTGCATACGACTAGACAGGGTATGTAAGGTATATCACCCGGTTGGAACTCTCCGCCATTGGCATAAAAATCCAGATGTCCTAAAGGCTCTGCTATTCCAAATCCATCAATGTTTGTATGAACAACATCAACTTTATGTGCATCTGATATATCTAGTCTTTCCTCTGGGGGTAGTGATCTATAACAGGGTCCAGCCGGATCAAGTCCCGTTATTCTTGAGGGCTTTTTTCCAGTAGCTGAATAGAAATACTTAGCAGCATGTGATGCTACGTGCGCTCCTAGACTTGCCCCAACTAGTTCTAAATTTTCCGCTTCAAGCCCAAATTCTGTTAGTTTCACCAGAAATTCCCCTAACTTTTTTCCAATGACTCTTGTGATGCGTACAGATCTGCAAAACGAAATGAAATTTTGAAATCACGTTAATATTGGTTGAATTTTACGTTTTTTGAACTATTAGCAAAATATGAGTCTAAACTTTCACGGTCACTGACAATATTATTATGATGTAAAACGGGATATTTACCAATTATTTAACACTTACTTTTGAGAGTTCCCTATATTTTGGCACTGTTACAAACGCCATACAAGAGTATAATAATGACGATGACGCTTGTAACATTGCCGAAAATTAATTACTAAACTTAATCTATACATATAATAAAATTGTAACCAAGCCGAATCTATAGTTTTTAGATTTTTTGTCTGTCTGTTACCGCATCACAGAAAAACCACTGGAGTGATTTTAATAAAATTTGGTATGGTGATAGCTGGTTATTCGGGTCAACATACAGGATACTTTATACCGCGGGAAAATATCTCATTTCTCAGAAAAAATACAAAAACTGCATTGTAGAGTATACTAATATGTAAAACCTAAGAATTTGATTTTTGGTCATCTGAAAGCGGGCGGAGCTACAGGCAATGCTAGTCGAGTATAAATTTAATACCGGCATATATTTAAGCGATAAAAACGTTATGAAAAATTTGATATGCCATAATGTTATATTATAATAAGTCATTAATGTACATTACATGATTATACGTAATTTGCATCAATATATCATCAATATATTATTCTTTAAGAGCTTTTTAATAAAAAAAATATTATATTTGAGTAATTTTTAAAGATGTATGTGTAAAGCATTTATTTATATGACCTTGGCCGATAGGAATGTATTGTAGAGACTAGTCGCGAATTGTTTATAATATTGTAAATTATTATTATAAAACTAGTGACTCACCTTCGCTTCGCTCGGGCTCGTCCCTAGCTTGCTTCCCAATACAAAATTTTATCCCTATTTTTATTTTATTTTTTCATTTTTCCCCCTTAAGGGATGGTTTCCGGGATAAAAAAGTATCCTTTGTCCTTCCCAGGGTCTCAAACTATCTTTTTAAAAAAATTCATCTAAATCGGTTTACGTTTTAAAAACGGTTACGTCGATCGTACGTTCCGTTCACGTCACAAACTCATAAACTTTACCTCTTTATAATATTAGTATAGATAGATTGACGTATTGTATATGAAAAAAACAATCTTATAGAAATCATTCAATAGATTACGACGCGGTCGCGGTTCCATATCTATGAGTATGTCGTATTATCTCCTAAACCATTTGTCTAAATTATATGCAGTAAAAGGGAAAAGTCTTTTGGTTTTAAACATTTTAGACGATAAATTTACTTCTTTTGATAATAATTCATAACTGTTGATATTATGAGCAATAAACATGACCTACCGATTTAAATTATTTTTTAATATAAAAAACTACTTTTTGTGACTTAAATATAAAAGTTAGACATATGCTGTCGCTGACTTTTTTGGAGGAATTATTAAGCTCTACAACTTTTCTTTAGAACATAATCATATATCTCTCATCGTCAAGGCAGCGTTCGTAAGAAACGTTTTCGTTCGACTGTTTTTTCTCCGACTTACATTGCAAATCCGACTACCATGAAAAGTCTTTTCATTCATCGGGTTAATATATAACATATGACACTCAGAAAGAACGTGGCTTTCTATTGGTAAAAGAATTTTGAAAATCGGTTCAGTAAATTTAGAGATTACCCCCTACAACGTCACAAACTCACAATATCACAAACTTTACCTCTTTATAATATTAGTATAGATTTAATAACTCATTATTTAAAAGAGCAATTGTTGAGTTTATCGCTCCGTTTTTCGAACCGGTAGTAGCTTCTACATGGACAGATACTCATACTAACCTCTATGAAACTACTATATACTGTTAAATATGCACCGTAATATTATTGACCTCCAATTATGATTAAAGATGGAAGAGGGCGCTGACTCCTGACATACAGGTTTATTCTAGTTTGGGAGTCAGAGGCTTCATCAGACATATGTAAAAACAAAGAATTGTGTCAATAAAGATATATATTATATATTATTATTAACATATAAATAAAATGTAAATGTTCCTTTGTGCGAGCCCTCACATGTAGCAAAATCAATGCTTTGAAGTTTTAACACATGTAAATTTAACACCTCGCGGTTAATTTCTAAGAAATCAATTGTTATCTGAGCCACATGTAGCTCGGCAGTCGCTGACAGGATATTCTTGCCTGAAGAAGATTTTTATGTTATTCATTTCGCGTATTCGCCACTAGATGCCGCTGTAGAGCGTCAACTGCACAATTTTACTGAGCGCAATGTATTTGAGAATTGAGAATATTTTCGCGTTATCGACTCGGGCGAGACCGCGGGCATAGGATAAAAAGTTAAAGGTTTCAAAAAAAATTTCTATTCTACTTAACACTTCCAGGTAAATTTCTAAGAAATTAATTAAAATTCTAAGAAATCTATTGTTAATTGAGACGTCGGCGTGTCCGCGGTCGTGGAGGGATTAATATTATAAATAATAATGATTACATAAAATCTCGCAAGGCTCTTCCAACAGCTGGTTACTAAATATCTTTACTAGTCCGTACTTATTAATATGAACGGCTGAACAAATCTGGATCAAATTTGGCACACAGATTAGTCTAAAATAGTACATAGGTTTTTATCCCGGAAAAATGTACAGTTCCCGTGGGATACATTTGTTTCGAGGGACGAACCTGAAGTGCAGCGTGAGTCGCCAGTATTTAATAAATGATGCTTAGAACAAAATAATAATTTGATCGTTTATTTTTGCGACAACACAAACTTTGTTTTAAAGTTATCGTTTCGAAGTGCTTAATGTTGTTTACTTGCAAATTTCGCGTTGGAAAGTGTTATTTAAAACTTAAATATCGAGGCTTAAAGAGTTATAATTTGTGCTCAAAAGGAAAGCTTTTACAATATCTATTTCATGTTTTCACAAAATTATTTTGCTCCACTCTATTTTAATTACTATTATTCTATTTTATTTTTAAATAATTATACTCATTTTGGTGACCAAGAAAGAATTTATTTATATTTATTGTTAAAAATCGAACTACTATTATTTTTGTCTATGTAAAACGGCTGGATGGATTTGAATGAAACTTAGTACATAGATGATTTTTTTAACATTAGGAAATGCATTCATCGAAGTGGGCCACCTCCCTGTGCGTTTCTTAGCTTCACGCCCGGCTGTATTGCCGGGCACTACTGAGCCCCATCCCCCTCCCCCCACCACAATAAGGTAAACGCACGTTGGGGGGAGATATAATATGACCTGGAGTAACACATAGGCAACTATTGGGCACCTGGAATATAAAAAATAGAAATCTGCATATTGGAACTAGCGACTCACCGTCGCTTCGCTCGGATTTGTCCCTAGCTTGCTTCGCCATACAAACTTTCATCCCCATTCTCACTCCTTTAAAGGATGATTTCCGGGATGAAAACTATCCTATATGCTTTCCAGAATCTCAAAATATCTTTTTACCAAATTTCATCTAAATAGGTTCAGTAGATCCAGAGATTACCTCCTACAACCTCACAAACTTTACCTCTTTATAATATTAGTATAGATATAGATTTATAAAATACTAGCTGGTTTTAACCTCGCTTCACTTGTAACAGGTGTCCAACAGTTGTAATTCCGCAACGCACTGGGAGGCGGTCCAGCTGGGTGGGCGGTGTGCTATGCGGGTAGCTCCTGATACTTCTCTGATAGCAGAGTGGACTGTTGGAGCAACCCCATGGTTGTTGTGGTCTGCTTTGGCAGACCTGCCGTCGGAGCATCCTGATTGAGTGCGTAAGCGATCCTGCGACGCCCCATTAAGACGGGAGAGGTTCCGTTACGTTTTAGTGGGTAGTACTGGCTTTGCCAGTTATCCCACACCTCGTGAAAGTTTAAATGCAGTTTCCAAGGTTAAAAAAGGTCATATGTACAAATGCATTGTCTTATATTAAAAAAACATTTTCCATCTGTATATTAAACATCCAAATCCATTCAACCGCTTCAGCCTGAAGAAGTATTGAATATTCACGGATACAAGCTTTCGTATTATCATAGATAATACTTTGATTTCTAACAAAAAAATATTATTCTGCTATTTTATATTTGAATGATTTTAAGTATATGTAAATACTTTATACGAACAAAATACTTTATAAGGTACAAAAGTTATTATAACAGAGTATAGTGGGAATAAAAAACGTTTAACTTTTTCCATTTTTATGAACAATTCTCCAAATCTATTTGATTGATTGTGAGACTCTTCATAGAGACGGCGCATCGGGTATTGACATATTTCATATAGCGGAATAATTGAGCAATTAACTTTTAGCGTACATTTTTATTTAATATCGACTCGTTAACTCGATTATTTTTATTTTGGTAAGTACAATTTGTACGAGATAACATACGGTAAATATATTTTGAAAAATAAATATATTGTAAGAATGATACAGCCCTTATTAAAATGATGCTGGACACAGGGCATCTTTCAATATGAAAGGGTTAGGGCCACAGTCCACCACACTGGCTACGTCAGGGTGTGTTTTGCTGGTGGTGTTCACACGTCTTTCTTGAACTTACTTCTGATTCATGCAGGTTTCCGCGCGATATTTTCATTCAACGTAAGACAAGTAGTTGTCATGTTGGAAATGATTCACATATAATAATATCAGAGTTGCGAGACCCGGGCTTTGAATGCGCTTCGTCTGGCTTCCCAAGCGAGCGTGTCATTTAGCTAGCACTACTAATTGTTTTTTATTTTATTTTATTTTAGGTATATTTACCAAAATTATATTTCGTTTTTGAATTTTGATTCACTATCCATCTAAAAGTTGTATAGAAATGATCTCGTCATTTTCAAGATTCATTCTGACAAAACGATTTCGACGAGACTATGTAAATATTGTGTATATAAAAACCTCAGACAGACATTTTAATTTCAACGAGACCAGCGACCGACGATCTGAATATATCAAAGTTGTTTTACAAACTTACTTACAGTGGGAATATACGAGAGCTTTATGTGACGTGTTGCATCTATAAAATCCACATGCTAGCTTTAAATTTACATTTAAAAACAATTTTTGAGCTTTGATAGTCGATATTGTATTAAATTCTGCAACTGAACATGTTAAACGAGACGAAAATCATCAAGTTTTACATATTGTCTCTTGCATGAATGGCGAGTGCATAATATCATCCTCGATTTTTTTTAAAGTTCACTTGCAATGCAGACAGAAAATATATTTTTTATATATGAAAAAGGTGGCCAAAAAGTATACGGCTTGCTTATTTGTTAGCGGTAACTTTAGCCACATGGATGATATTTTTAAATTTTTAGTTTATGTTTATTTGTGGATTTTTATAAGTTTTAATAGTAAATTTTATTTAAATAAAAAAGTCGTTTTGGAGAAACATGTGTATACTGTAGCACCCCCTGATGGTCTGTAATACAATAAAACTTAGCTAAGAACATCTCAGGAATGAGACTTTACAAAGCAAAAAACCGTTTCAAAATCGTCCTAGCCGTTTCCGAGAAAAATGGTAACTGACGCACTAACTTCTCTTACCTTAAACGTATGTACATGGCTGTCGCGGGTAAAAATAAGGTAAGCTAATAACTAAACTAAATATATGCTTCAACAAAACATAGAACCTGCACCAATCGCGTCAGCGCCATTAAATCTATAATAAGCAAACGCGTATTAACTTTAAATTATCCGCCAAATTTGTATGCGTGAGACGATAATATATTCCATGGAACTAAACTCCCATACAGATAACCATACACTGGTACGTGAGAATTGAAAACACCATAAAAATTTACTTCCTTATCTCCTCCCATACCATTAAAGAGCTGTTTCATTATAAATTTACTATTATTACTATTTGTACAACTAGAATCGTAATGTAAATTTATTTTGCTTTAAATTCAAGACGTGTTTTTAGAATAGATTTAACTAGATATGACATGTGACAGTAATACCGTATATGTAATCATGTCCTGATGCTGTTAGTGAAACTATACATAGAAATAAAATGTATGTCTAATATATAAAAGGCCAGGGGTTAAAATTTACTTTTTGTAAAAAGTTTTTTTGTAAAAAGTTTTTTTGTAAAAAAAAACTTCTTAGAAACCTTAAGGCTTATAACGTTGGGAAATGCTTTTAGGCACGTAGCGAGATTCACCGGCAAAGCCAGTACTACCCATTAAAACCCAACGGAACCTCCCCCGTCTTAATGGGGTATCGCAACGTTTACACTCAACCTTTACGCCCCTACGGCAGGTCTGCCGAAGCAGACCGCAACAGCCACGGGATTGCTCCAACGGTCCATTCTGCTATCAGAGAAGTACCAGGAGCAACCCGCATGGCACACAGCCCACCAAGGTGGGTCACCTTCCATTACGTTTCTTGGCTTCGCACCCGGCTGGATTGCCGGGCACTACTGGGTCCCCCCAACACGACATGGTGAACGCACGGGGGTATTATATGTAGACCTAGCTTGGAAGAATATTCTTATACAAGTAACTTTTTCTTTAAAGTGAAGGAATTTCCTTATATAATTAATATCTTTTAATTAAAAAAGTGAAGTGTTACTTGCGTTTTTTTTTAATTTCAAAATACAACTAATAATATTTTAAAATTATTTTTAATCTGTAAATATGCATTGGAGGAGCAAAGGACCCTTAGGTTGCAACAAAACAGCAATCATCATATATAATGGACTAGCGACTTACACTAGCTTTGCTACATCCCTATGTGCTTTTGTATTTTTAATATTATCTAAGCAGCGCTATCTTTTGGCAAATCTTATTACTAACAGTAGCCGATGTGTTACTCAAGTTATAGTCTATCTGTTTATTAAACATTATCTAACTCTGTACAGCCGTCTCGGTATAGGTAGAGTGTTGTAGTAACGAACTTACAAACAGATTTAATAATAGTATTGTGATTGAACCATAAACCTAAGCATAAAATTACGCGTATATTAAATTTAAAATAGAATTATTTTTTGCACTAAATAATCGACACAAAAAGGCTCTTTTGTGAACACTATTGATCCAAGTGATAAACTTCTAATAATACTTGGTAAACAGTTTTTGGGCATTCCGTTTTTATGCCAGTTTTTCTTTTAAATTTACGCATTCAATTCAATTTGCTACATCTAATACACAAATCAAAAATACTTATGTCGTATGGTTCTGTATATTTTCTTATATTTTTTTCTGTTTCCACATTTTACCAAAAACGCATGATGTCGCAAAATTAAGGATCTACGGATGTTGTAACGGAACAAGAATTAACAAAAGTCGAGATCCCACTTAGTAAATTATCTAACTAAAATATACATATTTAATACTAGCATTGCCCGCGGCTCCGCCCGCGTTCAGATGACTAAAAATAAAATTCTTAGGTTTTACATATTAGTATATTCTTATATTGCAGTTTTTGTATTTTTTTCTTAGAATTGAAATATTTTCATTATTTATTTATACATATAATAAAATTGTAACTAAGCCGAATCCGTACATTATTTTTTTGGAAAATCTTATTGAAATAAACATTATTATCGATACAGAGGCCGAATCTATAGTTTTTAGAATTTTTGTCTGTCTGTCTGTTTGTCTGTTACCGCATCACAATTTTTTTCTAACTTAAACTTGACGTATTGTTGTAGATGGTAGGTCCACCACTAATGAAAGTAATCCGAAGAAGTGATGACAAAATAACCAGTTTTGAACTTTTCGATTTTCCAGCTGTTCTTATAGGTTTTCTCTTTTTTTTATATTTAAACCATCCCTAATATACCTCCAACAAAACAAAAAACGATTTATTCAAATCGGTTCAGCCGTTTTTGAGTTTTAGTGAGACTAACGAACAGCAATAGATTTTTTATATATATAAATAAAAATATATGATGACTTACAATACCATGATAGCTATGAATAAACAAAACAAGACACGCTGTACATATTCATGAGGTTTCATTTCACATACAACAGTTGTTCTAATAATAGCCATTGTATGAATACAATCGATTCGATATTTTATATTCATTTGCGACTTGATACCGTAACATGTTTCTAGTAACTAATATCTCATCTCTTGACGTACAGACATACAGAGGTAGTCCAGTGGCGAAGGGTGAAACTTTCGCTGAGGTAAGCCGTTCCAAAAATATACAATATTATTAGTATTAATGCATAATATATATATATATATATATATATATATATATATATATGTATATATATATATGACATACTAGCGGCACACCCTTGCTTCCCTGGGGTTCGCCTCTAATAAAAGAAAAAGAAATAGGTAACAAATTATTAATATTCCAGACTATAATCTATCTTTGTGCCAAATTTCATCCAGATCCGTTCAGCCGTTTTTTCAGTTCCGTTCAGACATTTATAATATTAGTAAGATTTACTACCAACAACCGAATCGAGCTTTAGTTGTCTAAAAGTGTAAAAGATTGTAGAAAACATCTTGTCGAATATCCTAGATTTATAACTTTATATTATAAAGAACTAAACTAAAATACTACAGTTTTTTTTTAATATGTTGGGACATTAACACACAGCGCCATCTAGTTCCATAGTAAGCTACAAGGCTTGTGTTATGGATACCAGATAGTTGATACACTACACATATATAACTTTCAAATATATACATATTATAAATATAAACATTAAACACCCATGACTGGGGTACAAACATTCGTGTTCATCACACAAATGAATGCCCCCAGCGGGTCTCTAACCCGCGACCGTTGGCAACAAGTAGGGTCACTACAAACTGAGCCAAACGTGTCGTCATAAAGCTAATAAAAATAGGGTAATAAAAAAAAGAGTTTTTTAATTATTTTTTACTTACTTCGGATATATATAGGTGAGAAAGGAGAAAGTTTCGGTTATTAACACATTGTACCCTCTTTTAGAATACGCTGTCCCTATTGCTTGACTTTGAGGCCATACTGAGCTGTCCAACCAACCAACTGCGTACAGGACCGTTTTTTTGTTTTTGAGATCTGAAATATAAAAATATTCTAATTAAAACTATATTTTCTATATATCTTTTTAATAGTGTCAGCACTAAATAAGATAACTAATTAATAAAGCTTTAAAAAAAAGTAATAATTATAATAATAGACGCTAAAATTAAATAAATAATATTTGATATTCAATTGTAAAACTTATTAAAATTATGAAAACGTTTAAAATTAAAATTAACAAATATTGTAAGGTACTTTGTTGTCATTTTGGTATATTTTGAATTCATTTTGCTATTTTGTGGATAGGCTGTCTGTAACGACTACATACATAATGCCTTTGAGACGTCTAAAACCTTAGTCTCTCCCGTAACCATGTGCGCTGTAAAGCATTCGGAACGTCGGGAACCAAAGATCAAAATAAATCCGCGAAAAAATCCGAAAAGATAGCTTTATTTAAAATGTCAAATATTCGCGTAAATCTAAGAAAGTATTAAATAAAAATATCTCAAAGTATAATATAATATCAATGCTAAACTTTTGAAATCTTAATTGACTAGGAATGGTTGAAGGTGATACCTCAGAGCCGTAACAAAAATTTATCAAATCTTATGGGCGACACACGACGATTTTTAACGGGCCCTAGAGTAATCTGTCTGTATAATAAGTATAATTTATTTTGTTTTTGGTTTATTTCAAATGTAATATACAAGCGTCAACAAGTATAACTTAATATCATATATATATATATATATATATAATATATATATATATATATATCTATATATATATATATATATACATAAAAACTTTACGCTACACCCATTGCTGGCTAGTAAAAATAAAAACTTTTTAATAAAAAAATAAAAGCCGACTTCAAAACAAACACTAGAAAGCAAAAAAATAAGTGATTGGTAGTTTTAATATACTATAGATATCTAATCAGATATTTTCGAAGTCGGTGTGCTTTGATTAGTATCGGCTGGTATCGATTTCTTGAGTCTGTAAATAATATTTGAGAAAAACTATTATTGGGGGTCTTTATTAACACATTAGAAAACAATGACTTCTAGAATTTTTGTCTGTTTGCCTGTGCGTTTGTGCGCGCTAATCTTACATAGAAACGACTTAACCAATTTGAGTGCACTTAGTATTTGTTTTATTTTCAACCGACTTCTTTAAAAAAGGGGGAGGTTCTCAATTCGTCGGAATCTTTTTTTATGTATGTTCATCGATTACTCAAAGACGCCTGAACCGTTTTGGAAAATTCTTTTTTTGTTTCAAAGGGTATAACTTCTCATTAAAATTTAGGTCTCATTTAAATTTAATCAAAATTTAAAGAAACCCCTTGTTGAGATATAAAATTCAAAATAATTATATCTCCAAGACACCATACGGCAATGTACGAGACTATTACAAAAGAATATTCTTATAAAATTACATTATAAACAATGTAAGCGTAATCGATGTAATAATAACGCAGGTATAAAATTATCACATTAAATATTACCATAATCTACTTTGTATTAACATATTTCAATAATATATAATTAACGGTATAAAATGTTAGTGGCGTTTACATTTTACTTAAGTACCATATTATGCATTATTATATAGAAGTGACTTATATGCAAGTAATAATTAGATATTATCAAGGCAATGCGATAAATTTTCTCAGTACGATGCAAGTTTTGGAAATGGCGCCCCTAGAAACAAAATCCTTCCCCCCCCCCCTCAACGTGCGTTCACCTTGTCGTGGTGGGGGACTCAGTAGTGTCCAGCAATCCAGCCGGGCGCAAAGCCAAGAAACGCACAGGGAGGTAGCCCACTTCGGTGGGCGGTTTGCTCCTGGTACTTCTCTGATAGCAGAGTGGACCTTGGAGCAACCCCATGGTTACTATACTAATATGTAAAACCTAAATATTTAGTTTTTGGTCATCTGAACGCGAGCGGAGCCGCGGGCAATGCTAGTAATATATATTTTATCGACTGCAAAAACGTAACGCAAAGTTGACAGACAGTACGAAAAAAACACGGAAAACAGATATACGTAAACTTTATAAGTTTTTTTTATCTGCTTTATAAATCTTAATTGATAATATGTAATTACATACTAAAAACTTAAATCAATGCATACTAAATCAAAAGCTAAAAAATTAAAAGCTTCTAATATGATATATGTGCCGGAAATATAAAAGCATAATTTATTACGTAGTGCAATTTTTGTTACGATGAATAAACAACAAATTTTGAATATTCAATTCTTTTTGCATTTACAAGGTTAAAAGTGTTTCCGCTTAAAAAAATAAAAATCGGTCAAGTGCGAGTCGAATTCGTACACGAAGGGTTCCGTACCGTTTGTACTTTTTATTAATATGACTTTTACTCTATTTATGAAGTATACTTACTAGTACTGAGGAACTTCGATGACCGATTACAAACATAAAAAAATTCTTGTATTTTTATTTATTTTTATTATTTGTTGTTATAGCAGCAATAGAAATACATACTCTGTGAAAATTTCAACTCTCTATCTATTACGGTTCATGAGACACAGCCCTCTGACAGACGGACGGGCGGACATTGGAGGCTCAGTGATAGGGTTCCGTTGGCACCTTTCAGGTACGGAACCCTAAAAATTCGCATTTGCAAATAACATAATATATACGACAAAATAACCTTTCAATATTTCTTAACTAATAATTACTAACAATAATAAATATGTTGAGAAATTAACACACAGCATTATCTAGTGCCATGGTAAGCTTCGAGGAATGTGTTATGGATACCAGATAGTTGATACACTACACATGTATAATTTTAAATACATACATATTATAAAAATAAAAACTTTTTAACAAAAAAATAAAAACCGACTTCAAACAAAAGCACTAAAAAGTAAAAAATAACTGATTGGTAGTTTTCATTTACTATACATACCTAATCAAATATTTTCGAAGTCGGTGTGCTTTGCTTTGTATGGGCTGGCACCGATTTCGAAAATATTTGATTAGGTATGTATAGTAAATGAAAACTACCAATCAGTTATTTTTTACTTTTTAGTGCTTTTGTTTGAAGTCGGTTTTTATTTTTTTGTTAAAAAGTTTTTATTTTTCCCTTTTTAGTGTAGACAGTAGTAGCACAGTAAGAATTCTAACGTGTTAGGCTTGTCAAATCAAACAAAATAAGCCCAAACTCAAAGTATCTACTATTAGCCGTTGAAGAGTTCCACCTATCCACCTTCTGGCCTTGCCATCAGATCAGGTCAACAACACCGAACCACTGTACTATCAACGGAAATAGAAATACTTGCAAAGTTTCAAGTCAATATGACAATTAGAAGTAGGTTAAATTCATCATTAGTTGTTTTTCCACCCTTAGGGGTGGCATTTTTTTTTGAAATTTAAATGGGACCAATCTGGAAGTATACCCTTTCAAACAAAATAAAAATTTTCCAAATCGGTTAATAAATGACGGAGTTCTGAGGTAACAAACATAAAAAAAAAAACATACAGTCGAATTGAGAACCTCCTCCTTTTTGAAGTCGGTTGATAAACACCCATGACTGGACTACAAACATTCGTGCTCATCACACAAATAATTCTCCCAGTAGAACTCAAACCCGCAACCGCTGGCACAGCGAGTAGAGGCACTACAAACTGTGCCAAGCGTGTCGTCTAAGTTAGCTATTTTGAAAATACGATAATTTTCATGTGAACACACGCTAACCACCTAACAACCGTGTGTAAGAGATCTCCGTCCTCGTGGACTTTTGTACGAAAACTGTGCGAGCGCGAAAATAGCGTTAAACTTACCTATACTCTTTTCCTTGGATATACTTCTATGAGCACTGAGAATGGGAAAATCCTTCCGGACGATCTGACCAGTGTTAGTTATCTTGTGGACAGTGACCTGCAGCATCCTCATCATAACTGGAGTGATTGTTGCGTTTTTTGTTACACCTGGACCTGTAAAAATATCTTAAATTATATTTTAAAGTAAGATTTAAATAAGTAAATATGTTGGAACTTTAACACATAGCACCATCTAGTTCCACGGTAAGCTACGAGGCTTGTGTTATGGATACCAGATAGTCGATGTACTACACATATATAGCTTTAAGTACATACATATTTCTATTTTTCTTATTATTTCTGATCTTTACCAAAAAGCGAGTACTCTTTACTTTATATTTCACTCAAAGCTACTTTTAAAATATCTGATAGGTGGAGATTTCTAAGGCAATGATTAATCTCAAACAGACTAAAGAGGAAAAATATTTTAATAAAAACTACACTCCGACTTCCGAGCCAAAATACCCGAATGAATCGATAACAATCTACACACATAAATGAAATTGAAGTGTCTGTTTGTAATGTCAAAATAAAAGATGTTTACTAAACGCATAAGGTATATAGGTACAGTACTTATAAGAAAAAGATTTTTTTTAAATTTTTGTCTGCCTGTAGTAGATATTATCCTACCTTCTTCCCTGAATACGTAAATTAAAAAAATAGTCATGATTTTCGTATGTTTGGACATTTGTTACTAAAACAAATAAAATGTTAATAACTGAATTTAAGTAAAGATTGAATTAAAATAAGTAAAATGAAAATTTTATACCAATACTAATAATAATATAAAAGACAAAATTCTGTGTTATATGTATAAATATCTTATAATTATGTAATATAATGTAGAAAAAATGAATTCGTTGTATGACCGGTAAAATTATTGTAATTTTTTCAATAAAATATCTCAATCTCAATGTCTGTTTGTTCCGGCTAATCTGCGAAACGGCTGGACTGATTTTGTTGGGACTTCACTGGCAGATAACTAATATCATAAGGGGTAACTTAGGCTACTTTTATTTTAAGAAAAAGAATTAGGGTTCTACGCAAAAAAAAATAAGAACAATGAGATACTAAGAAAAAATATCGTACCTTGGAACGCACCTGAGCGAAGCGAGAGTAAGACGTAAGTTTCTCCTATAAAAGACAATTCCAGTAACAAATTCCCAAAACAAAAGATACTTCATAATAGATACTATTTTTAAGGCGATTGATTGAACGGTGTAGAAGTTGATACACTGCATCGTCATCTTGTAACGAGATACAGAAAAGGATAAAATTTAAACTCGCTACTCGATGTAAAAAATATGTATACATATCATAATTTAAGAGCAAACGGTGAAGGACTTTTGGAGATTTGTTGTTATGCACAAACGCTCATATACATTTATATGTGTAGAAAGATCAAAAATGGAGTAAATAATCTTGATAATTAAGACCAATTTAATAGAAATGTTCCAACCAGTTTTAGAACAACAGTCGATATTATATCAATATTTTCAAAGACTTAATTTAGCCCGAATTAGTGCACATATAATATTTATTTATTTATTTATGTACCATAAAATATACGTTATACAAAATAAAATAACAAAATGTTGACAAAGGATAACTTATCTCTTTAAGAGATTTCTTCCAGAAACCCTTCAGAAGTGAGAAAATAAGTTAAAATAGTGCGGAGTAGGTACAGTACAGCATTGAATGGAATTGTCTTAATATTAAAATACATATATTAACTAAATATTATGATTATACAAATATATATATATTCACATACATATATATATACATACATACATACAAACATATATACTTACATATAAATACATACTAATCTACAATAATTTATGTCTGATTTGATAAATAGTATTGTTTAATTCTAAACTTAAATGTTGAGAATGAGGGATCATCTTTGAAAATATAATCAGGCAGTGAATTCCACAAACTTGCTGCCGTAACAGAAAAAGATTTTTTATAGAATGTAGTATTGTAGTGAGGAACCACTAATTTGGGCAAATTGACACAAGAACGCACTGGTCTGCATCTAGGGGACACTAATGTGAAGCGTTCACTTAAATAAGAAGGTGTAGAAGTCTTCAAAATATAGTAAAGCACACATAATACACGAACGTTTCGGCGAAAACGAATGGGGAGCCACTTCAGTTGCCGTCGGAAAATACTTATATGATCAAATTTGTGCAATCCATATATAAAACGGATGCACAAATTCTAAAGGCGATCTAGCTTGTCGAGTAGCTCCTCGGTTGCATCAAGATAGCAGACGTCGGCATATTCGAGTAGAGGGATTAGCAGTGATTGAGCTAGGGTAATTTTAGTTTGAAACAGAAGAAAATTCTGTAAACGTCTCAAGGAATGAAGTGAATAATGTACGCGCTTACTGACCTCGTTGACATGCGCAGCCCAGGACAGGTTGCAGTCGATTATTAAACCTAAGTTTTTACACGTGTCTGAGATATTGATGCAAGTGTTTATCGTAGATGATGTCAGGCAGATTGTTGAAGTCGATTTTGTTCCGCAACTGCTTACTACCAATGATCATGGCCTGAGACTTTATTGATTGACAAGGAGTCCGAAAGACTTTGCCCAATCTTTGATTCTTGCCAAATCAAGGTTTATCCTGTCTATTTCAGACGCTAAGTCCCCGACCAAAGCATGTCTATAAAGTTGCAGATCATCCGCATATAGGTGGTAGTTAGAAGAGAGTACCTGTGGGAGTTGGTTAATAAAAATTGAAAAAAGCAATGGCGATAACACACCACCCTGGGGGACGCCTGCGAAGAGATTGGACCACTCTGAGATAGTCTCGTCGCAGTAGATTCTCTGCTGGCGATCATAAAGATAAGATTTAAACCAATCAATCACAGAAGACGAGAAGTTAAGGGAGGCAAGGATAGAAAGTAAAACATCGAAGTCCACTGAGTTAAAGGCATTATTAATAATACAATATCCAAAGTTAAATATAGTAACAATATTCTATGTGTTAATTTAATATTCTAATATATAAATATCTCGTGTCACGGTGTTTGTGATCGCACTCCTCCGAAACGGTTCAACCGATTTTAATGATTTTTTTTGTATCTTTGAAGAATAGATCGTAAAGTATTTTTAGGGTAAAAAACCTACTATCCCCATCTTCTAATCGCGATTCTAATATTTTTGTATGAACAATCTATACTAATATTATAAAGAGGTAAAGTTTGTGAGTTTGTGAGTTTGTGGGTTTGTGAGTTTGTGACGTTGTAGGGGGTAATCTCTGGATCTACTGAACCGATTTAAATTAAATTTGGTAAGATGATAGTTTGGAACCCTGGAAATGACATAGGATACTTTTATCCTGGAAATTATCCCTTAATGGGGTGTAAATGGGAATGAAAGTTTGTGTTGAGGATGAGAGTGAGTAGTCGCTGTATAATAAAAAGCCAAAGAGTTTTTTTTTGTAGATTAAACGCGGGCGTTGCCGTGGGTTCTGCTAGTAACTAACAATAATATATAATTCATTTGACGTGTTAATATGTAATTATGCTGTTGAAATTTTCCTACCCTGTCAGACAACATAATTTATCTTTATAAAATATATCCTTGTTATTGTCAAAGTATAAGAAATATGTTGATAAAACTTGTCTTCCTTTGTTTTCATACATAATTAAAATAATTTAAAACTTGATAATAATTTTATAGGTGCTGATAGTAAAAGTACGTATAAATTTGTATATGTAAGTATAGAATATTAAAGTCCCATGAAAAATGTTGCATTTGACAGATAAAACGTGTTAAAATTAAAAAAAAAAACTACGTTTAAAAAAACCGACTTCAAAAACTAAAAATTATAAAATACCTTGATAATGATTTCATCTAATACACCTTTAATGCAAAACTTATACTAACTACCTATACTTTTTACCGCGGGAAATTATCTAATTCCCACGGGAATACACGTTATAATACAATGGAAAAAATATATTTATGATCAGAATTACTTGAAACTTTGTATTATTGTTCTTTAATAAAATTAAATAAATATGTGTTTTAGCATTTTTCGAAATGCATTCTATAAGGGGGTAAAATAGGGGATGAAAGTTTGTATGAAACTACCTTTTTTTGATTTTTTTGTAGTTTTAGCGCGAGCGAAGCCGCAGTTTCTGCTAGTGTATTATAAATATTATGTAAAATAAATAAACGTCTTTGTTAATTTGTCTTTCTTTCAACGGAAAAACGTATCAGTTCGACGACACGTTTAGCTCCGTTTGTAGTTACCCTATTCGCTGTGCTAGCGACCGCGGGTTCGAGTCCCGCTGCGGGCATTCATTTGTGTGATGAGCACGAATGTTTGTACTCCAATCTTGAATGTTTTGTTTTTATTATATGTATGTATTTAAAGTTATATATGTGTAGTATATCAACAATCTGGTATCAATAACACAAGCCTCGTAGTTTACCATGGAACTACATAGATATGTGTTAAAATCGCCACATTTTTTTTTGTATTTACAAAATTTATAGTCCAGGGAGTGAAATGAGCTTTGATCCAATTTGAAGTCAAATGAGTAATAATAAGCAGGTAAATGAATTTCCGTGAAATCTTAGTCTATAGCAGGCAACCAAGGGGTTGTGTTAATACAACCAAAGGTAGTAACTAGTGATGTTACTTACATTCTGGTAAAAGTCCTACAGGATATCCTATTTCAGGCCGCGGTTCAAAGCTGCTGATATATGTAGGTCCAAGGATAGCCAACAGCGAAAAGATGACTGAAGACAATTTTAGAAGTGGCATGTTTCCTGAAAAAGATAAAAATAAATTTGTTTGTTTGTTACCTTCCCATAACAAACTTTATTATTAAAATTATAACATTTTTTTATCTTTATTTATTATATTATTATTTAGTGTTGTTATTATTATAATATCTACGTATACCATAAAGAAAATTCAAAAATTAAAAATGTTTATTATTTAAGCAATATTATTGTTTTATATGTAATTTGATTTTTCTCAGTTAGTTCAGTGGTAACACGCTTACATGGGAAACCGAGTGAAGCGAGTTCTAATCCCGGGTCTCGCACCTCTGATATTTCCATGTGAGAAATCATTTCTAACATGATTACCACTTGCTTTACGGTGAAGGAAAACATCGTGAGGAAACCTGAGTGTCTGAGAGAACCTAGCAAGTCCGCCAACCCGCACTTGGCCAGCGTGTTGGACTATGGCCTGATCCCCCTCGTATTACTCTACCTGTGACATATTCATAAGTGGAAACTTTGCTGGTGTGTGATTGTTTTTAGTTTAAAATTATTTTTATGGATTACTTCACTATTTGTTTCCCTAAAATAATATATAAATAAATAAGTATTGAGGCCCGTGCCCAGCAGTGGGACTTTAAGAAAGGGCTGAATACATATATACATACATACATATGTAATTTAAAAAGTTAAATTATTAGTTTTGATTCCTATTTTTTAAATTTAAAATATTCAGCAACACAGTAGCTACAATTACACATAAAAAAATATTAATCTAAATTACCGTTATTTCGATCCATACAGTATGAATATAACTACGTCTAATGGTCTGTTATGTAAAATTTTTCTGTTAGATTTTATTATTTTAATTAGATACAAGCTCTTTAAAAATTATTTACTTCTTATAATTCCGCCCTCGCATTCTTTACTGCGAAGGATATCCATGCGAGAGAGAGTAAGAGAAATAATCTGTTATTGTAATAAATATACGTTTACAGTTGGTTGAGCAAATTCTAATATTTTTTTATGGTATTCAGTGACAAACGAACAGACAGTCCACCTGATGGAAAGCGGTACCTGTCGCCCATAACACCTACGATTCATGCACTTAGGTTCTATGTTACAAAAATACAGAACCGCAGGTGCGTTGTCACTGTGAGGACTGAGATGATATGCCTCTTGCCTGTAATTACGCTGGCTACCTTATCCTTCAAACCGGAACACAACAATGTAATCCTTGTTGCTTGGCGGGAGAAATAGATAAGAGGGTAGTACCCATCCAGTCGGACTCCTCAGGCTTGACAGAGTCCTACCACCGGTAACTTAAATAGTCCAATATGAGTTCCACAATTACGACACGTTTGGCTTAGTTTGTAGTGACCCTTATTTGCTGTGCCAGCGGTCGCGGGTTCGGTTTTGTGTGATGAGCACGAATGTTTGTACTCCAGTCGTGGGTGTTTATGTTTATAATATGTATGTATTAAAAGTTATATTATATGTGTAGTGTATCAACTATCTGGTATCCAAAACACAAGCCTCGTAGCTTACTATGGAACTGGATGGTGTTGTGTGATATAATACCTACATGTAATGTAATATGTATATACAAAAGCTGTCAAACCTTATCTCCAGAGACAACTTCCTCATATGTAACATATAATTCGACAAACTTATACGAAATGAACCAAAACGAAAATTCCCGTATTTCCATCTTACTTTTTACTATCTTATCTTACTTTTAACTAATATTATAAATGTGAAAGTTTAGATGTTTGGATGAATTTTGGTCACGCAATCACACCAGTACGGCTGAACGGATCTGGATGAAATTTTTCACAGAGATAGATTATAGTTTTATCTTTGAAAGAATGTACGGTTCCGATGGGATACATTTGTTTTAATTTTTTCAAAGGCGAACCCGAGCGAATCTGTAATTTCTAAGTTAATATACATAAATTATATTATTCGTTAGAATAATTCAGTTTAATTAAAAGATATTTGCATGGCTCATTTTTGTATAAGTTTAATTATTATATATTGATGTACATAAAAGTTGTTGGTTTGTTTTTAGATAGTTTATGAGGCGGAAAGTGACAAAGGTCGTGTAACTTTTTATCCAAACAAATACTTTTTAGTGAAATATCCCTGAACCTTTTTTGTACTTCCCATAATTATAATTTGGAGCTATAATATAATAACTACTTTGCACTCCTTTGGAGTAAAGAGTAAAGTTTAAAATAATAAAACTTAAACTCTCTACATGAGATAACTCGCAAGTCGCGATTTGTATGGATTTGTTTTAATTTATTGTTCAGATTTTTTCGCGGATTTATTTCGATAGATTTGTTCCTAAGCATTTGAATGCTTTACAGCAAACATAATACGGTGATTGCGCGAGAGTTGAGTCTCAATAATTTTGTTTAAAACGGGTACCGTACATTTTTCCCAGATAAAAAGTAGCCTATGTGTTATTCCAGAATATAATCTATTTTTGTGCCAAATTTCATTTAACAACAAGGTCCTGAAATAAAAAATTGTAGAGGCGTAAGACAAGATGATCCTCTCTGACCAATAATATTTAACTGCTCTTTAAAACCTTATGAAAAATCTAAGCTGGGAGAGAAAATATATTAATTTAAATGGAGATAAAATTATCTTCGTATCGCAAATAATATTAATTTTTTCTCAGAAACAGAAAGAATTAATTTTAAACAAATTGCAAAAATCGAGTAGTGAAATTGAACTAGAATTGAACACTATTAAAACAAAACTCATGATCAACAACTTCATGAAACCTGTTATAAAGGTCAAAACCATCCGGATAGAATATATCTAAGAATATATTTATCTAGGTTACCAAGTATCATTCGCTAAATCTAGACACCGCTATGAACTACGAGTAAAACAACGAATCCATATTACATCGAATTAATTCTCAGCAAATAAAGAAGATATTAAAATCAAATATCCATGTCACGCTAAAGAAAAAAGTTCTTGATTCATAGTCCTGTCTCACATATGGTTGCCAAACATGGATATACAATAATATACACTATTATATATACTATAAAAACCATATTAATATTATAAATTTGAAAGTGTGTTTGCTTGTTTGTTTGTTTGTCTTTCGTTCACGTCGAAACGGCTTGGCGGATTGGCATGATTTTTTTGGCATAAGCATCGTGGTCAAGCGGCCAAGGAGCAAAATCAACAATCACAGATGTCCATGTTCGAATCTCGGTCGCATACAAAGGTATAATTTATTTCTGTTTTTTTTTATATTTATTCAAGTATTTACTTTTTTTTTAAAGAATATTGTACTTCTGACCAAAAACTCCGAGCGAAGCTCGGTGGCCCAGGTTCTATACGTTTAAAAGAGATCCGCAGTATAACTTGATCCTGTATGAAGCGACGGTGGGTGCTCCAGAATTATAATTTTTAAGACACAAACGATACCTTTTAATAACGCTACTATTCCAGTTTAAATAAATTAGCATCAAATAGTTCAAACACAACCACTTCCTTCAAAAGATAAATCCACACTATAACATCTAAAAGTCGTCTAAAAATATTAATCATGTATGGAAAATGACAGTAATACAAAAGTAAAAACCTTGAAAGACGGTTCATTTGTTAATATTTTATACTAAAATCTATACTTCCTTATCCATACTAATATTATAAATGTGAAAGTCTGTTTGTTTGTTTGTTTGTTTGTTTGTGTGTTTGTCCTACTTTCACGTCGAAACAGAGTGACGGATTGGCGTGATTTTTTGACGTGTGGAGATAGTTGGAAGTCTGGAAAGCTTTGTATTTTTTACTGCGGAGATTATCTAATACCCACGCTAAAACAATGCATAAAAATATTTAATACAATCCATAAAAATATTTCTGATCAGAATTACTTAAAACTTGGTATTAATGCACTTCAATACAATTATATATATACGTGTTTTAGCACTTTTCGAAATTCATCCTATAAGAGGGTAAAATGGGGGATGAAAGTTTGTATGAAACTACCTTTTTAGAGTCTTTTTTGTTGTTCTGCTAGTAATGTATATTTATAAAATATTTACAAAAAATACCACGTTCTTTTACTTATTTTGTAGTGCAATAGAACTTGTAATAACAAGATCAAGAGAAGTTCGACTTTAATCATTTTCTTATTGATAAAACTAAAGCTTCTTAATAGCTAATAAACAAAAAAAAAAGTAAATCGATTGACAAAAAGACGAGAAAAAGGTAATGAACTGCTTTATCTTTACTTATCTATATAATTTTTTTTTTAATTATATTAAAAAAAATACAAAACAAAAAAAAAGAAAATGGATTTAAAAATGGAAGAGAAAAAGCTCCTAAACTATTCTGTCTATCTTTGCCTATAGATTTCATTTTAAGCTTAAACTCAAGCTTAAAGCTCACACAAAGACATACATACATTGGTACATTTAAGAAGAAACACTGATTTAACTCAAACACTCGTATCCCCGAATACTATTTTCTCATATTAATTTTCTAAGTTGAACATGTACTAACTTCGAAAACACCTTCAAAGCAGTCCCTCGACCCTTAGGAGTGGATTTTATCGAGACTTATAAAGAAGCGTCCTTGAGGTAAATCCTATTTATTAAAAAAATCATTTACATCATAATACTTTCTTATTCTTTCTTTTCTTTATCTTTTTCGGTTTTTTTTTCAGATAACACTTTAAGCGAATATTTGACAACTATATCAATACATATAATAAAATTGTAACTTAAATTGGTATGATGATAGCTGGTTATGGTATGATATACTCTATCTATACCATACTAACTGTTAAATGCCGATGATGAGTCGCTAGTTGCTCATAACGCCTTTTTTTTTTTTTTTTTTTTTTTTAACGTTGGGAAATGCATTTACGCACGAGGTGTGGGACTCACCGGCAAAGCCAGTACTACCCACTAAAACCCAACAAAACCTTCCCCCGTCTTAATGGGGCGTCGCAGGATCGCTTACGCATTCAACTACGACGCCCCGACGGCAGGTCTGCCGAAG